GTCCTCATTTCCACCTGCAGCCCCGGGCCCGCGTCTGGGCCCCCGGGAACGCGGCCCCGGGCACAGTCCACGCAGGCAGGTCACTTGGCCAGCTCCTCTGCCACCGACTTGCGCATCTTGTCCTGGAGGTAGGCGGCCTTCTGCCACTGGGACCGGAGCTCCAGCCACTCGTAGTAGGGGACCTGGGGGCGGTACCGAGTGAGCAGCACGGCTCCAGCCTCCATCCTGAGGTGCAGGGGCCGTGGGACCAGTGCCGGGCTCGGCAGGGCTCAACCACTCGGGCTAAAAGCGGCTCCCGAATGTTTCAGTTGTTTTAACGAAGAAACTGACAGCATCTCGTGTGGCCGCTCACAGGCTACCTCTTGGAAGGAGCAGGAGGGACGGAATTCTCCCAGGCGAGAGCTGCTCACCTGGTTTGAACCTGGGCATCCTGCCCCCCCGCCCCCCGACCCTCACCAAGAGGCCCTGGCTGTGCAGGTAGGAGCAGGACCTGAAGCCCCGCTGACATGCCCCCTTCGGTCACCACCTGCCTAACAGGTACTCACGTCCACCACCAGGAAGCCGGCAGCCAGCACGTGGCGTCGGGCGAGCACAAAGTGGCCCAGCAGGTCTTTGCTGCGGCTGGTGAAGCTGGAGAACTCCCAGCGCAGGAAGGCCAGCCTGGGGAGGAGAGGAGCCACTGGCTGACCGTGTCTGTCCTCAGAGGCTGGGCAGCGCCGGGCAGAGCAGGCCAGGGCAACACCAAGAAGAACCGGGGAGGACTAGGCGCATGGCCTACCTCTTGGCCGTAGGCGGCAGCAGCTGGCCACCCGAGGGCGGGGACAGATGAGGGGCCACGAAGTCCCTCAGGGGCAGGAACTGGCCTTCGGCGTCCAGCAGCACCTCTGCGTCTGGGGAGGGGCGACAGACGGAATGGCCGGCTGCCCCCACGTGGAGGGCGGGGCGGGACGGGGCGGGGCAGGCCCTAGCTGGGTGGATGGGTAGGGAGGCTCACCGAGAACCCAGCCATACTGCGTGGCCACGGAGAAGCGGCCCCGGTCAGCTGCCCCCAGCAGCCCCTTCAGGGTCTCCTGCAGCTCCTTCTGCAGGGGCGTCACCTTCCTTTCAGGGGCCGGGGGCCCGGGGTCCAAGGCCGAGGCCGGCAGCAGGGGGCCCGTGTACTCGGGGTGCTCCAGCCGGGCCGTGGCGTTGATGTGCAGCAGCTTCTGGAAGGTGCTCTGACCCCTCGGGGACCTGTCACCTAAGGGAAGAGGTGCCGTGAGGGGGGGACGGAGGACCTGATGGGTCACCTGCAGGCAGACGGCAAAGCAGCAAATGCTGGGGAGCCCTGGCCCATCGTCTCCCCTGCTCCTGGCCTGGCACTGGGCCTAGAGGCTCCCACCCGCACCTGGTCGTGGGCACACAGGCTGGCAGCGCAGTCCCAGGGCAGCACACGGACCCCCGCCCTCACTGCAGCTCCGACGCCCGGGCCTGCTGCAGCACGCACAGGGCCCACAGCACGTCCACCTGCAGGGCCGGGTCCAGGTCGGCCAGCTGACTCCCCAGCTTCTCGTGTACCTGGGGGACAGGGAGGGGGGCAGGGGAGGCTCTGCTCAGTACGCGCAGATGTTCTGGGTGCGAGGCCGCCACTGGGAAAGGTGCCAGGAACCATCCAAATCCCCTGGGACCAATCGGGACAAAAGGACATTCAACTGGGCTTTCCCACTGACCCCTCCATGGGCAGAAGGTGAGGCACAAACCGCCTCTCCAGGGACGTCCGAGTGGCCCCAGGACGGGAGGCATTTCCGGCCCCGGAGGGACTGAGGGCACGAGTGGACGCAGCTGGGGTGGTGCCCCTACAGGGACCCTGCCAGTGGGTCGGAGTCTCGGGGGCGTTGAGGCGGAGACAGGAAGTGAGCCCGCCCAAGAACGCCTCCTGGGCCCGCAGCCGCTCTGGCCCACGGTCAGTGCTTGGGTTTCGAGTGTTGCCCCCAGACAACCCGGGAGGTCTGGCTCCAGCTGGCTTGCTCTGCCCCTGCCCCTGCCAGGCCTCCCTCCTTCCCGTCTGCAGGGAGAGGGGCCGGGCGATGTACCAGGTTGAAGAACGCTTCCTCTTGCTCTGGACGGAAGTTCAGGCGGGCGAAGGCCAGCAGCACGTTGCAGAGGTCTGACATGGCGATGCTCTGGGCCCTGCTGAGGACATGCTGGGCACAGGGAGGCAGGGGGGCAGGATGAAGTGTCCACACCCTCTCCGCCCGGCAGCAGCCCCTCAGAACCCGCCCAGCACGGCTGTGGAAATGCTCCTTAACCTGTAGGTGCTGTGCCGACCAGGTGCCCATGCACCTCAGCACAGGCACCGCCTTCCTCACACGAACTCCCTGTGGCAGCTGAGGGGGTCTCAGCTTCGCCACCTGCACAGATTGCCAGTTGAGTGCCCACTGCAGCCGCCATGACTGCGGCACGGGGAGAAATCGTTCTCTCCCTGCAACGGCGTCCCTCCAATGCAGAGCAGGACCCCATGTTTGCACTGGGGGTTTCTAGCCCCTGGACCTCCTGACAAACCCCAGGACTCAGGTGTGCACCCTGCTCACCTGGGCAAAGGCCTCGAACAGGGGCAGGTTGAGCCACTTGAGGAGGGCGAAGGACTTGGCGCAGCGGGCCACCTCGCCGGATGTGAGGCTGGGCACGTGGGGCAGCAGGTCGGCGGCCAGGCGCTGGAACACCTGGGTCTGGTGGAAGCCGAGTTTGCCTTCGGGACAGAGCAGACCCTGGGGTTCACCTGGAGGCCCACCCAGCACCCCAGCCCGGCCCTCAGGTCTAGGAGCTTGGTGTCTGTAGCCAGATTTATCCCTGAGGCCCAGCAGAGGGGACCAGGGCCCATGGACCACATTATTTCTATGGCAGCCTTCCGGGCCGGTGCCTGCCACGGGGGGACAGGCACCGAATTTGACACGGCTGCAGCCAGGGCGCCCCCAGCCCTGCGCACGGGCTCACCGTAGGCATAGGCCAGGTCCAGGAGGACGCCTTTGGTCAGGGGGAAGGGCTTCTGGACCAGGTGGTAGGAGATGGCCCGCAGCAAGGGCAAAGACCGCCGGTTCTGAGCCGCCAGCGCCACCAGCACCCTCTGCAGCTCTTCCGGGCGGAACTGCTCCACCAGGTCCAGGCACTGCCAACCACAGCCCAGGGTCAGCTCGGTGCCCACGGCCGGGGTCCCATGCAGCGCAGCCCCTGCGAGACAGCAACTGGGCCTGAGCTTACTACCCACAGCCCCTGCAGGGCCCAGGGCAGGGGACCCAGGGCCACTGAATGGTGGCCCTTGTTGTGGCAGCCATGTGGCCAGCCCGGCTCTGGGGGACGGGGCTGAACTGACTTGGCTGTGGGCTGGGAGCTGAGCCTTGGG